GGTGTGTGTGTGTGGCCAGCTCAGCCCACCAGGGGGCGGCCCTGGCTGGCATGTGGTGCTAGGGGATTGAACCGCGGTCCCTGATGCTTTGCTAAGCTTGTTCTAAGTAGGTGCTTTAGACCACTGAGCCATCTCTCCAGCCCCTGTATTTATTCTTGAAAAACAATTTCAACTATCTCTAAAATTCCTAGTGGTCTCTAAGATCAAAGAAAATGAAGACCAAATAAATAAATCCAAAAACCTTTATAGTAAGTATGCCACTCATAAGAGGTAGGTTAGCACTGCGGACAAGTGTAGAGACTCAAAGTCCAAGAACGTTCAAATATGAAATCCAGAACTTACAAGCTGAGTAACTGTCAGTAAGATAACTTATCTATATCGCAGCCTTCTTATCCACAGATAAGAGATAATCTCAGTCCTAACTTCACAGAGTTAGTGTGAAGAATTACTGAGTCAATATCAAAAAAAAGTATACTATGCTCAAAAAGTATCTGGTACATTTTAAGTACTACATAAATATAATACATTTTTATTATTGTAATACTATTTGAGCATATCTGTGGCAACCATCTGCTTTAGATACCTTATCTGTAATATTCCTAACAACCTATACACATAGCTAAAGACACTGAATATGACTTTAAGTAACTTTCTCAGAAACAAATCACTAATGAGCTGAAGCAAAGTGTAGGATTTATACTTTACAGTCTATAAACATTTCACATCATATTGCAAAAGAAGCCAAACTACCACTTATTCACTTGTTAAGCTTCCTGTCATTTATGAAGATATCTACATAAAACTCAAGAATAAGCAGTCTTCTTAACCAAGTCTGAAATTAGATTATCTATATGCTATATAGAGCCTGGTTGAAAAGAATCACCTGACTGTTATAAAGTTTATAATGGTGAAAACCTACCAACAAGAAAATAATCGCAAACTACTTATAGATAATGCTTATTAATTAGTATGATATATTCTACTTCTGTGGACAAGGGTTTCATGGGTAGGACACTAATTCATCACAGTGTGCAGTTACAGAGAAAAGAGAGGCCACCTTCGCTCAGTTTCCAGCTCATTCATCTCGCGGCGTTTCTGCTCCAGCAGCTCCTGTAGCTCCACGATGCGTTCGTTCTCAGAACCTTCCTGCTGCAATCGAAGCATCTTGTTTTCATGCTGCAGTCTAATAAACACCTCTCTGATATGGAAAAGTAAATTTTTTCGAAACTTTTAAAGTAAGCCACTATATTCGTTACAAAAAGAAATTAACGTTCATTCAATAGCTGTTATTTGAAAAGGAGTTTAGAATTTCTGAAATATTTTAAGAAAAAAAATATGTACATTGTAAGACTATACCTCAAAAACATAGCAATACTATGAATTATTTTAATTTAATAACTTAGGAACTATTCACAAAAGTAATATATTTTTAAATGAAATACAAGATTTAAACTATACTTTGTCTAAAATTTTCAAGTACAGTTATATAATAGCAATCAGTCTCTATATCTTTTGGGGGGATTTTATTAAGGATTTACAGACACAATTTTAAAGCAAATTTAGTATTCAAATGAACATGTAAATCTCTGTGTGGTATTAAATTAAAAAAATTTCAATTACTGATTTCAATTAATCCTAAATTTTTGTTCTCAATGTGAGCAACATAACTCTGAAAATTAGGCTAACATAGCTTTTTTAAAAATCATTTATTTTAGCAAATGTTTGACTTCTAAAAAAAAAGGCAACTCTTCTCACTTTATACATCTACTACTTCCCCATTATAGGTCCCTCAGTTTTATTTTTGTCTTCTAATAATTTTGTAACTTTCAATTATATAATTAAACCTTCAAAATAAGAGCAACTTATGTTGCATCAACAGTAAGATTCCTTTTTTGAACACAGCACATGACCTTATTACCTAGTAAGAAAAGTGACAGTATAAAAAGTAGAATATGCTATTTAGAAATCTTGTAAAATTTTGCTTCTAGTAGCAACAATAATGTGATTTTGACACTGTAGAGCTTTAGGTATGATTTCTTACTTTCAGATAAGTGCAAATGAGTTAACCATTCAAAACAACAGGGTATTAATAACTAAAACCTGCATATCAATGAAGCATGTAAGGAAAGTCACAACTATATCTTAACAATAGAGAAACTAGACAAAGTGAAAAATCAACAACTTTGCAAACAATATGCTAAATAAAAGAAGTTAGTCACAAATGGCCACATACTGTATGACTCTAGGTATATAAAACGTCCATTAGCAAGAAAATTGATACTGGTTGCCTAGAGTTAGGATTTGAAGGAAAGGAAGGAGTCTAGAATGGCAGCTCTCTGTTCCTTGTATTATATCTATTCCTCTAGTAAAACCCTGACTAATATACAGCTAATAGCTATTGGTCTTTTCAGTGTAATAAAAATGTTTTCATACGATAATGACAATGCTGAGACTATTATCACATAGTACAACTCTATGAGTATAATGAAACCCACTGAACTATGAATTTTTGAGTAGATTGACAGTTCAATAAAGTTACCTAAACAAAAAGTTGTAAATACTAAATTAATCAAACATCTAGAAGTAAATGTGAGTAAAAAACTAAACATTGGATTAAAAGGAACACTAAAAATTGGTACTTCACGTTCTGCTTAATCTTTCTGAATTATTGACAACTCTTGTACTTTTCCATCTAGACTTGAACGCAGAATTTTTCAGAATTAGAAAACAAATATAATTCAAACAATAAGTTATGTTTTTAAAAACCTACAGTATGTTGTGGAGCCATTTAGTAAAATTTTACTTCTGGCTAGGGATACAGCTCAGTGGCACTGATGCCTGCCTGGCAAGGATAAGGTCCTGAGTTTGATTCCTGGTACTAAATAACTAAGCACCTAAAATTTTACTTCTGATAAATTTTAAAGTTGCTATGATAGGACTAAAACTATGATTTAGAAAGTTTAAGATGAGAAAAAAAATACTAGTTTCATAACACACATGCACAAAAAAAGGTCAAACCATTTAGAAGAGAGAGAAGAAAATGAGAAAAAACATACCTCAGCATTAAGTATCAATTATCACTGGAAACAGATTTACCTGTACTCCACTGGCATGATCTCAGCAGCAAGGTTCTCACAACTTTTTATAGCAGATTTGTCTACACAATGAAAACAGGTTAATGTTTCAGTATTTCAACCATCAACAAACCAATTTTTAAATTTAATTAAATTCACCTGCTTGATTTAGGTGATCCTGCTGGACTTGGGAACAGCGAAGCTCTTCATTGGTTTCTTTCAGAGTATCACGCTGCTCTCTCAGTCTCTATGAAGAATTGTTGATATCAGCAAATCAGGTAATTCTGCCCACTTTTGCTTATAATAACTTGATAGTCTGATAGTTATTATTTCATTAAAAATGATGTTAAAATTTTAAGAGGCTAATTTTCTTTTGAGTAAATCACATAAATAATAGCCTTTATACAACATGTGGTTTGTGGTTATACATTTCACATTGTATCTTTGAGCTAAATGAATGCAGTTATACAGCAAAGTACAAATCCACAAATGATAGCAGATAAAAAATGAACACGGCCTTTGGAGGTGGCTAGGGTGTGAATTCCAGTTTTGCCATTTTCTTAATTTTTAGCTTTTATTGTCCATATTTTATAAATGGAAATACCAATATAAAAATCCTTGCCAAAGTGTTTTGAGTAATGAATGAGGTAAAGCCAAGCATCAAGAATATAGATTGGTATGTAATACATGCAGGAGATTAGATATTATTTTTACCATTGTTGACTGGAAAAAAAGTGATAAGTAGCATCTTGGAACTACGAGTTGTAGAAAAACACCTTTCTCAAGACAGCATGCTAGCACATCAAATCACTGACTGTTATTTTACAGTTCACACCAGTGGAGGGGGGAACTCTGTGTTCTGAACAAGAGCCACATTTAAGTCATATTTCCAGAACCAGAAAATTACTTCTGAATATAAAATCATGCATTAAATATTATGTTCTAAGCCAAAAAACAAAGCCTTTTTACATGTGTTACATGGTTCAACTCAACTTATCTAAATTGAATAACTGATTCAGATCTTTAGGCTAGAGTCTATAGATACCTGAGGGATCTCTGAATCTATAAATTATAAACAGATAAAGGTAATAGGACCTTTATAAATCTGTTCTTACATAAATACAATGCAAACATTAGAAAACTTGTCCTTATCAACTGGTACAGAACTCGAAATAAACCTAAGGCCCTTAATAATTTGATTTTTTTTTTTTTTTGAGACAGTTTAAACTGTCTTTGAATGTACTATGTTGCCCAGACACAAACTCTAGATGATCTTTCTGCCTCAGCCTCTCAGAGTGCTGGGATTATAAGCATGTACTATGTACAACAGTAAGTGTTTACTAAAGTAAATTTGCTAAACATTCATTAGAACAATGAGCTTTTTGTTCTTTTAACTTGTCTTATTACTACCCCTTCTCTCCAGTTCTGGAGTAACCTGAAAAGTCAGTAGCTTCTTTACTGTAGCTGTGGAAATCAGGAACTTCACTAGCCACCAGAAGAGGCAGACTGGACAGAAAGGTCCTCTTAAAAAGTCCCCTCATCCTCAGAAAATGATCACTATCTGACCTGTCCTGTAACTCCCAGAAGACATTAAAAAAACAAAACAGCAAAAACACCTTTTTATTGTTTACAGAGAACACAAAAATAGTAAGAAAAAATAGAAATGATATAGAAATTCACCAAACAAAACAATAGGAATATGACAATGGTGAGATGCTCATTATCTGATGCTGATTCAGGGCTTCCTTTGCATGAAAAACCATATTCCAGAGGGATATATCATAAACAGTCCTCACCAATTGCTACCACCAATGCTGCTAGGGAATCAGCTAGGGATCAACAAAACATCTCCACAGGGAAGATTTGAGAAAGAGGAAGCCCACAGGAGGTGAGGAAAAGCCTCCAATTCCCAGAGAACTAAAAGACAAACTCCTGTGCACATGCCCAGAAAATACCTGAGGGGGCCTTAATAAAAGATCAGCTCAGAAGTCCAATGCAAGCAAAAAATAGAGGCAAATACAATGTCAAAAATTGTATCAACACAAAAAACTTTTCTAAGTACACACTGAGTCCTTTGACAAAGGCTGAAAGAGTTATTAGTTAATGGTGTCTAAGGAAATCTCTGACCAGTTTCTCAAAGGTAACTTGGCAGAAACCTTAGTGCCTATTACAAAGAATATAGGCTTTAAAGAATTACCCAAAATATCATCAAAATAAAACCAAAACAAAGAATAAAACATTTTTCTCTCTGAGAATTATGATTCTAAAGTTTGAAATATTTTATAAAATATCAGTGAGTACACATAGATTATAAATCGGAAACAGATTATAAATACCTCCAAAGAACTAAAGCAAACAATGTATAAAGAATTAAAAGAAATTGTGACAATGTCTTACTTACTATAAGAGCAATTATAAAAAGAATGAACTAGGAATTCTAGAGTTAAAAAATAAAAATAAACATTCTCTAGATAAGCAGGAGAATAAAACAGAGAACTTCAAAGTAAGCTAACTGAAATTACCTAATCTTCTTAAAAGTAAAAAATGGAGAGAGTATGAATTCTGTGGGACACTAGCAGGTATATCAAAATTAGCATACTGGAAATCCAGAAAAAGGGGATAAAAATATTTGAAGGAATAATAGCTACACATTTTCCAAATTTCCTGAAATACAATCAAAATATCCAGGAAGTTTCATAAACTCAAAGGGATGCATACCTAGACACTTTAGTCAAAGTAGTAAAAGAAGAAAAAAATCTTAAAAGTAGCAAGAAAAAAAAATGATTCTTCACACACGTGACATCCTCAATGAGTTTAACCATTACTTTCCTGTAATGAACCCTGGAATACAATGTGATGATCAGTGCTAGAAGAAAAAGACTGTCAAAGAAGTATTTGACACACAATAAAACATCCTTTGAATATAAGTAAATTGATAGGTTTTTCAGATTAGGCAAAAATGTAAAATTAAACAGAATTCGTTACTGCTCTTAGAAAAAAATACTAAAAAGAGCACTTTATGCTAAAATACTAGAGAATAGTCTGAATCTAAGAAAGAGCACTAACAGTTAACTAGATGCACAAATATTGAAGAAACAAAGAATTTATCCTTTTAATCTTCAATATGATTTAAAAGATAATAGAAAGTAGTATTACAAAATGTGTGAGCTTATAATATATAAAGATGTAATTTGTATGAAAATACAGTAATAGCAAAAAAGGGATAGAGATTCTATTTTGAAAGAGTTTTCCATATACTGTCCAAATCAAGTTAGTATTTATTCCAAATACACTGTTTCAAATGAAATGCCCATTGTAATTCCTATAACAATCTTTACAGGATATATTTGAAAAAATATAGTAAAAAATACAAAAGAGGTATGCCATTTTCTAATGGCATTTTAGAAAATATCTAATGTAAAAGAGGAATAAATAAAAACAGGTACAAAGAAGATATAGAAAACAAAAAAATGTTAGGCATAAGTACCCTCTTATTAGTAATTATGCTAAAATAAGTGGATTAAAACCCTGAACAAAAAGTAAACTATTGGCAGAATGGACTTGTTAAAAATGATCCATGTAAATGCTACATAAAGAACAGATCTAATATCAGAGAAACAAATGGTTTGAAAAGGAAAGGATAGGAAAGGACAGCAAAAAGCAACCAAAAGGTAGCTCCAGGTTTATACTTAAATCAAACAAAAACAACTCTAATTTTGTTTTTGCTCTAATCTTTACAAATTCTGTGGTAAAAGAACACACATTTCTGTTTTCTTTTATAAGATTCAGATAAAAAGTAATAGATAAAAAGTATTAGATATGGCCTGCTTGATGGCTCAGCATACTAAAGAGCCTGCTTAGGCAGAGCACAGTTCAATTCCTGCCCTGCCATGTCAACCCCTCCCCCACCCCTGGGGCGCACAGAGCCAGCAATGAAGACCCATAATCCCAGCACTTGGGAGGCTGAAAACAAGAGAATCACTATGAGTCTGATCTATGTAGTGAGACCCTGTAGACCCTGTCCTAAATACAGAAAAAAAATTAAAGTATTAGATAAATAAGATTCAATGCATCAGGAAGATACAAAAATCATACACATAAACTTAACATAGTCCCAAAACACATGAGGTAAAAACAGAGCAGCAAAGAAGACATTAAAAACAACAATAGGCCGGCCAAATAGCTCTGCAGATTAAAGCACCTGCAAGCAGGCACAGGGGCTGGAGGTTCAATCCCTAGGCCTGCCGTGCCAGTCCCACCACCAGGGCGCACTGAGATGGTGATTGAGACTTGGCCTGGTGGTATGTGCCTGAATCCCAGGTCTTGGGAGGCTGTAAACAGGCAGATCACTACAAGTCTGATCTAGTAGTGACACCATAAACACCCTTGCTTAAAATACACACACAAAAAAAGAAAAAAAATCAGGTTTATGTATCCTCTGATTAATAATTATATAAAATAATTGGATAATCTGATTATAGCAATAATAATTGGAGGCTTAAATAGTCCACTTTCAACAAAAGTTACAATAAACACAAAATGTCAGTGACTATTACAAACCATAAGACCTAACAGAAATAAAAAACTGTACCCAACATCAGTAGGCAAACTACTGAGTCAAAAAGAAACAGAACTTGAACAGCAACTGAAAAGATGCAATCAATAAACAAAGCTCAGTTCATATTACTAAACTCTACTAGATTTAAGAACAATTAATAGAATTTTGAAAAATTATACAAAAATAGGAAAATTTCTCAGCACATTCTATCACACCACTATCACGCTGATAAGAAAGCCTGTAATGACCTTTAGGAAAATTATAATCAGCACCTCTTACAATTTAGAAGGAAAAGTACTGAGGAAAGTATCAGCAAAATGAATTAAGAAATATATAAAAAAGATGATATTAAATATCAAGTAGGAGTTGCTCACAAACATAAGGTTAACATGATATCCAAATCAAAATGACGCAATATACCAAGTTTTCCAAACTTTTGGGCATCAGGACTAGTTTTAGGGAGGAAATTTTCCACAGACATGGCCCAGTCTTAGATGATTCAAATCCATAACATTTATTGCACACTTTATTTCTATTATTATTACATTGTAATATATAATGAAATAACTATACAACTCACCATAATTAGATTCAATAGGAGCCCTGAGTTGCTTTTCTGCAACTCAAAGGTCCATCTGAGGGTAATGGGAGACAGTCATACCCAAAGTGTATTGTTTATGTGCAGTCTG